GTATATATCTATCCTTTTAGCTAACGAGCATGTGCACACAAGATGGCAGTAAAGTTCTAAAAGCTCGAAGCCGAAGTGGCTTGCCCGCGTACCTGCATTTCACGATAGCCTCACGCAAGCGTTCCCGAAAAGCCACAAGCGCACTCATCGAGCTCCCTTCTCAAAAGCATATTGACTAGGCAGTCGCGAACATCAGCCCATAAACAGGACCTAAAAGCCATCGTGGAGAAAAAGACATTGCGCAGGATGAAGTTGATGAGGGCGAGCGAGTAGCGCAGCGGGTGATTGGCGCGACCCCTGGAAAGCACGTGCGGACGCGTTCTGGACGCAAGCCACACAAGAGCGAGGCTACTCTTCGCGATCGGCCGCCCCGGGTGCGGAGGCGTTCCGGGGACTAAAGTAAAGAACTCAAAGGCTTGATATCCTGCAAGGCCAGCGCTATCATCTCCTGAAGACACTATTGTATTGTTTTCAATCTCTGCTATACTCTTAAAGACGTCCCAGCCCTCCACAATGTCCAGAGATCACGAATACGTTGCCGTGTTGATGGACTGCTCATGGAAATGTCACAGAAGAGTCTTTAAAGTGGTGATGCAGAAATTTGATTTCTCAATTTTTCTGCATCACCACTTAAAGTCTCTCAGCCTTTCAAATCCCCACTCCTTCCTCCGCAGTCCAACACCCAACACCCAACACGGCAGGCAGGCAATCATCATCACCTCCCCATCCTCTTCCTCTTGAACGCTCCCCATTGTGCTATAACAGACGATCGTCCAAGAGGAAGAGGATGACACGGCGCTGATGACTACCTGACTGCCAATGAAGTCTCTGCCTGTTCCTCATTCTTCTCTCAATTGGCGATGTAAGCGGGCATTGTGCGTATCATCCTGTTGGATACCTACAATGAGGGTTTACATCGCCAATTGCGAGAAGGATGTTGTTGCTGCTTGCGCATCTACGTCGATGTTGCGCTGTACTCTTCTCTTAATTAGCGATGCAAATGTAGCATTTCCTTACTCCTGTTGAATAAGGAGATGCTACATTTGCATCGCTAATTACGAGAAGGATGGTGTTGCTGCTTGCGCATCTATGCGAGATATCGCGGTAGATCAGAAGGGGTGTGAGGAAGACTGCGCGGTGACCATAACCCGACTTTTCTCCCATGTTCATTCCACAGCGCTGTCCGTGAAGTTTATGACAGATCCACTCATCCACTTCCTCCACCCTTCCTCAGCCTCGCCCAGGGATCCTCAACAAAGCTCGGTAGAAAGTATGCCGTATCTCCATTCTCCATTCTCACGCCGTGACGCAGCGCATTCAGCTCAGCCTTGGAGATTGGTGGACCGCCGAATGATACCATCTCTGCCGCGGGCGGGTCGCCAGACATCGCAAGGTTTGGAGTGCTGCGCTCGGCGGCAGCCGGTTTCTCGGGTAGGTTCTGGCCGCGAGCTACAAACGCTGCCAGGCCAGAGTCGGCGGGTGCGTTCTTCGCTTTACCCGGCGCGTTGTTGTGGGGTTGCGGCGCGGGGTTTGTGAAGTCGGATACAGCGTCGGACACAGCGTCGTCGAGGTTGATCTCGTCATCGTTGGCAACTTTCTTCGATCTGACACCCAGTTTGGTGGAGTTGGCGCCGCTCGCATCAGGGCCAGCTTTGGGCGAGGCGGTGTGGTCGAATTTGCGTTTCTTTGTCCCACCGAAGGAGGCGAAGCCCATGGCCGCTGCGATCTCGTCGTTTTCGTCGTCGTCCATGGTGGAGGATTGGTCGTGACTGCTGAAGTTGAAGAATTCGTCGTGGCAGCCGAAGTGGAATTACACGTAGGACCACGGCGCCAGCGCCATGAGGAATCGAGGTCATGAGCTTGCGCACGGATTTTTAACAGACGTCGGCCCCTCGGGGCTTGGCAACTGCCTCCAACGCCAGCGACCCACATCCATCAGCACACTACTCCAACGCTACAACGGAGATCCACACTCCGAGCCATTTCGTCACTACCATTCTACGCTGCATACGCGTGTGTATCGTGCAATGACTTCCGGAAGAACTACCACACCTCGCTCAATCGCACAGCGACGATCTCCACTCCGATGGAGAAGGTAGCATCGTCGGGGTGTTCTTGCTCCGCATATGATGTCAACCGGCACTTGAGGACGTAGTATGCATAGTCGGACCGCGGCTTCGGGATAGGCGGATGGATATATAAGCTTTGATGTGAGCCTGCGGTAATGGCTTGTTCAAGCCATATTCTTATCCTTGGATTGTCGAGATGAAAGTCGCGACTCAGGTGTTGTTCGCCTCGTTGGCTGCGGGCTCTGTGCTTCCGAGAGGGGGTGGAAGCCATAATGGGAGTGCGATTGCGGACGGCGACTTTGTTTATGTGGATGGGCTGAGATTGTATAATGGCGATGGATTGTACTATCTTACTGGTAAGGATATCCTTTTCTCCCCTACAAGTTGTGGGCTGACATATTCAAGGCATCAACTACTGGGCTTGTATGAATCTTGCGGCAGGTCCAAAGGCAGGTGGCAACTACTCGCGCTTGGTTACAGAGCTCGACCAGATGGCTGCGAAAGGCATAAACCACCTCCGTATCATGGCTGCTTCAGAAGGGGCACCAACACCGCAGCCCTTCAGGATGAACCCAGCGCTCATGGAGTCACCCGGCCAGTACAACGAAGACGTCTTCGAAGGACTTGATATTTGTCTTGCTGAGATGTCGAAACGCGGCATGCGCGCCACCATGACGCTCAACAACGAGTGGCAGTGGAGTGGTGGATTTGCCCAGTACGTATCATGGGCAAACAACAACACCGCGATCCCGTATCCGTCAAGCTGGAACCAGACTGCACCGCCCCAGCGCGAAACCCCTGGCACCGGATGGGGAAACTACACTGTCGAAGGCGTCAACGCAGCCCCATACGACGAATTCACTTCCTTTGCCAACCTGATCTACAACAACACGCAAGCCGAGCAATGGTACAAAGACCACATCAAGACCGTCATGAGCCGGCGCAACACCATCACAGGCCGCCTCTACACCGAAGACCCAACAATCATGACCTGGCAACTCGCCAACGAACCCCAACCCTCCGACCAACTCGGCTACACAGGCCCCTACAACATCTTCTTAGAACCAAACCCCAACGACCTGCTCTTCCCCTGGGTCGACCGCATCTCCGCCTACATCCGGTCCCTCGCCCCCAAGCAGCTCATCAGCGTCGGTCTGGAGAGCAAACAAGGCGAATACTACTTCAAGCGCGTGCACAACTTCTCCACCGTCGACTACGCCACAACCCACTGCTGGGTCCAGAACTGGGGCGTGTATGACATGTACAACGCTAGCGACGCGAATCTAGTCGCGGCCCAGGACTTTGCGCGCCATTTCATGAAGAACAGCAGTCAATGGGCCATGGACATTGGTAAACCGGTTTTCCTGGAGGAATTTGGCATGGCAAGAGATAACTGGGTGAATGAAGATAAGGAATACCCGTACCTCAGTGATGCGAGCACCACGCACAAAGACGCTTATTTCACGACGATTATCGGGGCGGTTATGGATGAGTTCAGGAACGGGGGTGCGTATATCGGGACGAGTCCGTGGGCGTATGGCGGGATTTGGAGGCCGGAGACGCAGAAGGCGAATGAGTTTGGAATGGTTTGGGCGGGGGATCCGCCGCATGAGAGTCCGGGGTGGTATGATCTTTATGATGATGATTATGCGATGGAGATTGTGCATGCGCAGCAGAAGATGATTAGCTTGTGGATTGGGAGGCAGGGGAAGAATGAGACGGGGTATTAGTTGGGGTGGGAAGAAACTTGCGCTTCCCGCTGGCCGTTTCGCAGATTGTGGTTTTGTATAGCTGGTTGATCTTGCTTCCACTGCGGATCAAGATAAGCGCATTGAACACCACCTTCCTAGCATCAATCTTGAGATCTCAAATATACTCTTCAAATCGCCCTATCATACAACCCCCACCCCTCACAAAAACCTCGACGGACTACTCTTCTTCAACACCAACGGATGCCGATGCACACTAGGCATCAACCCCAAGCCAATCGCCCTCCGAATCGCCTTCGCAACCTTCCTCTGATTCTTCGGCCTAAGCCCCGTATCCTTGCTATGCTTAACCCTCCCCATCTCCGTCATATACTCACTCATCATGGTAAAGTTCTTATACTCCAATATCGGATTTATGCCCAACACATCAAACGCGTCTTGCTGCGGCTTCTTGCGCCCGTACTTCCACTTCTTTTGCTCGGTGCCGGAGAGGTCGTGGGGGGCGTACACGTCGCCGGGTTGCCATTTTCGGTAGATTTGCCGTTGGTATTGGGCCGCGCGGTCGGATTCGAGGACTTCGCGTGGCATGTTGGCGGAGAGGCCCATGGTTGAGGCCATGCCTGTGAGGGAGGGGCCGGTGCGCGGGCGTGTGGTGTTTGTGTTTGGGGGTGGGCGGGCGGCGGCGGTGCTGCTGGCGAGGATGTCGAGGATGCCGTCTTGGGGGCCTGCGCGTGGTTAGAGGGCTGGAGGTGTGGTAGAGGAGGGCCATTGGAAGATGGGGGAGTGTGTATGGGGGAGGGATTTGGCGCACCTTGCTTATGGGACCCGGTAGAGAAGTAGCGCATGCATGTCGTGCTTATGGACGGCAGCGGCCGCAGTGGTAACCGTGTTATTGACATCTCGGCGGCTGTGGTGGTGTTGGCGTCGTCGTCGCTGCCGTCGTGACTTTTCGAGATGCGGCCTCGGCGGTCGGAGGTTGACTTTCTTAGCGCAATTGGATTTCACAGCAGGCAAGAGCTCCCGCAATTGCTCCCCTCACTCCCCGTCGCCGCCACTGGATCCCGCTTCCATCCCGTCTTCTTCGTGTATATACCGTTTGTGCGCCTTCCTCTCCCATATGGACGCCTTCTTCGCCTAGATACCCTTCCCACTGTGCGCCAATTGCACGCCCAACCTACGTCACCACACTTTTGTCCTGCGCTTAGCGAACGTCGCCGCCGCCATGCCCTCGCACTTGACCCGCCTCGTCTTCCGCAACATCATCGCCAACGAGCCTCTGCTATACCGAGGATGCCGCTACCGAGCCGTCCGACCCCGCGTCATCACCCAGCATGGCGCCCGATTACTTCCCCAGACGCAACGGCGGACTTTCTTTGGGGAGCTGTTCAAGCAAAAGCGGAAGCTCAAGCCTGCAGAGGCGCCACCGGGTCTGAATACGATGGCTGAGGTGTCGTATAAGCGGGCGAATGACTTGAGACCGCCGGCACCGAAAGACGTTGCGGATGCGATCAAGGAGTTCTTTGCGCAAAGAAAAGGGTCATTTGAGGATTGGCATGTGGGGACTGCGATTGAAGCTCTGAATTATCTGCTGGAGAATCCGAGAGAAGACGGGAAGCCATGGCTATATCGGCAAGACCTGGACAATATCTTGGAGAAACTGCTGGACACGACGAAGCGACCGGAAATTTTAGGGAAAGCGCACATGGTCTTTGGGCGGCTCGTGGTCGATGAGTTGGCAAAATCCGAGGAGCAAGAGCCAGAGAAGGCTGGGGAGAAGAAGACGAAGGAATTGAAGGTCCCTTTCAAGATGTACATCGACTCGAGGCGTGTCCAAGTTCTATCCGCGTTCGGTGCGGCTACTCAGGCAAGGGACATCGCGATTAGTGCGTTCAAATACGACAAGACAGCTAATGCCTTGATACGTGGCGCCGTGGTCTCTAGCTGGAACACGGTGCTTGGAGGAATCATCCGGGAGAACAGCCTGACCGAGGTCTCGAAAACGGTGGATGCTTTCACAGACGCCTCAGTTCCATTGACCAGGCCTGCGCAAGACAAACTAGTAGCATTCTACGCTGAGCGTGCAGACCTGGAAAAAGCCAAATCTTGGTACTCGCAACCCGTGCACACCAAAGTCGGCCACCAGGTTACCCAGCCGTCGGGCGGCACCAGCTCTGCTCTGCTAAAGGCGTGCGCCGCAGCAGGCGATCTTACCTACGGTCAACAGGTGGTAGCGAGCATGCTCAAGGTTGAGATGCTCTCGAAACCTGAGTGGGATGCAATCTTCCTCTGGTCTGCTGCTATCGGCAAGGGCCCTGATGAGATCGCTCGGATGATCAATGTGCTGATTCGCAGAAACGACGAAGCACGGCAAAAAGATCCTAAGGTCCCTGTAATCCGCCCAGATACTGAGACCATCAATGCGCTGGTAGAGCACTGCATGTCTAAGCAGGATCCATACCTGGCGGAGCGCTACATTGTACTGGGCGAGAAGTTTGGCATTCATCCCGACGAGACGACCTATACGATGCAGATGCAATACCGCATCTCCGTCGGCGATCTCGATGGAGCCAGATCTGCCTACTTCAATCTGCAGGGTAGCTTTTCTGGGGACGAGCGCAGTGTCGCAGTCGTCAATGAGCTGATACAAGCACTCTGCGTGTCCAAGCAGCATCATTTCGATGAGTTGATGGCCATGGTGGACGATCTGCACGAGCGCAAGGCCAGCTTCGCACCGGAAACTGTCGCAGCGCTAACGCTCTTGCATCTTCGGAGGGGCGAGATCCACGACGCGATGGATCTCCTCCAAGTGCACGCTCATCAGTACTCCCCAGAACAGCGGACGATCATCCAAAAGGCGCTTTCCATGTTCATCCTGGATGGTGAGACTAGCACCGCAGATGCTTGGGATGGCTACCAAATCTTACGCAACGTGTTTGTCGAAACGCCCAGAGAAGACCGGATACCAATCATGAACGGCTTCTTCGCCAGGAATCGTTCCGACATGGCCTGCCACGTCTTTTTCCACATGCGCAACCACGTCAGCCCCACTCACACAGCAACAAGAGACGTCTACGTCGCAGCCTTCACTGGCTTCGCTCGCTGCCAAGATGCCGAGTCCCTCGAACTAGCGCACAACCAACTCAAACTCGACCTAAACGTAGAGATGGACACCAAACTCCGCAACTCACTCATGCTCGCATACGCCGCCACCGGCGAGAACCGCAAAGCCCTTTCCTTCTGGCGCGAGATCTGCGATTCCAAAGAAGGCCCCACATACAACAGTCTCGCCATCGCCTTCCGATCAAGCGAAGGCATGCACTTTGGCTCTGAACACGCAAAGTCCATCTGGAAGCGCTTGAAAGATCAGGATGTCGAGATTGACAAGAATATTTGGACTGCTTATATGTGCGCTGTTGCACGGAATCATAATCATGATGAGGCGTTGGCGTTGGTGGAATCTGTGGAGGAGGAGTATGGGTTTACTCCTGATTTACAGATGTACGTTGCAGTTCCTCTTTGACTTCACTCTGGCGGCTTTACTGATAATCGAACAGTCTGGGTAGCTGGTTCAACTGCACGGCTAATATTGAGAGGCAAACTCGCGTCGAGGCTTGGATTAAACAGCATTATCCGCAGGTGTGGGCTGAGATGGAGGCTCTGGGCCATTGGGTTACGATGGATGGGTTTGGGTATCGCCAGTATAACATTAATCGCGACCTTGACCCGTAGAGCGGCGCGGAATGGAACGGTAAGGTAGCCAGGCCAGGATGTGCTCGATTGACGGCAGTACGACATCAACCGCGACCGTGACCCTTGAGTCGCGCGGATCGAAATGGTGTGGTATTCTCACTGGGACTCGGGTACCAACATTGCGGGTAGTATGAGATTACGGTCAACCGCCGCATTCCAATCGCGGAATCTTAAACCAGGCGCATTGCGCCAATGTACGCATCCAAAGTCCCTCGCGAAAAGACTCTAGGCTCGAACGCGAAGCCCGGAAGACCATGCGCTTCACATCCTGATAGTCAAAATCCATATCCGGCCAAGCACACCTCGTTTTCGTCTTCGTTCGTCAGGGTCTCGCTTCTCTCACTTCTCACTTGCTGGCGCTCCGTTTGTTGCTCACCAGGCCTCAGCGGCGTTCGACGAGCGCTTCTCCACCGCTATCCCTACTATTGACAAAGTCTCCCACCCGCCGCCTCCTGCCTTCTCTCTCCACCCACCCCTCACTGACTGGGTATCCGTTTGTCGCCCGCCTGGCCTTCGAGCGCCTTCCCACCGCTCTCTTACTGGGGATAAAATTCTCCACTTGATACCTCCTGTCTTCTCTCTTCCACCCACCTACTACCCTTCTCAATTCTACCCGCCCTCTCTTACTGGCTGCAAAAGCCGCCCCATCAATTGCGCCGAAGCTCTACAACCGCTACTACATCTATCCACTTCGCTATCGACCGCGTCGGTCTGTCAAGAGCGATTGGCTGGACGACGGTGAGTAACCTCATGATTTGCGGAGAAAAATGAGATTTCTGACATTGAACGTGGTAGTCATCATGCGCGCTCACTATCTAGTCGCTGGCTTGATCGGCCTCGCTGGTCTTGCCTTCGCCGCTCCTACTCCCGAGTCTACTGCCGTCTCCCTCATCCCGACCTCCCAACCCGCCGACATCGCCGACCTCGAGTATGTTGCCCCCGAATGCAACATGGGACAACAGCCAGACATGTGGCTCGCGGCTATCTGCGGCAACCACACCAACACGAGCACCATGCCCAAGACCTGGCTCGGCGTCTGCGCATTACTTACCGCCGGCGTCGCGCATGAAGTCACAACCACGGTTCAAGACCCTGGTCTCATGTGCAGATTCTACGACGACAGCGACTACTGCAACAGCGACTACGTCGTCGCTACCCTTACCCACCATTTCCGGATCCCGTCGGCGATTGGCAAGCAGATCAAGTATGTCAGGTGTGATAAGGCGCCGCCGCGTGGGGAGTCTGGTGAGCTCGAGGCTAGAGCTGATGATGCTCTTCTCCACGATGCTCCTTTTGTTCTTGGAGCGGAAGATATTAAGCACGCCGAAGAAGATGACGCTCTTCCCGCCCACGACGCGATCCCCACCCAACCCGAAGACACTTCATCTTGGTCCCCATCCCCCTGTATGAACCCCGGATCGGACTCCTACTTCTTGATCGTGTGCGGCGGTGGCAACGCCAACTGGATCCCCAACAATTGGATGAACGCGTGTGTGCGGCTGTCCGATACCGTTGGGCACCACGTCGGCACTGTTATTCAGAACGCGCACATCATGTGCAAGTATTACGACGACAGTAACGAGTGCAATAGCGACCATAAAGCGTGGTCCTCCAATACTTCAGAGGACATCGAGCTCTTTTCGTATCCTCCCCAGGTCGGAAACCAGCTCAAGTATGTCATGTGCAAGCAGCGTGAGTGGCGCAGGGGTATTGCATCTTCCTCCGCCTGTATGAACCCCGATGCGAGCCACTACTTCTTGTCCATCTGCGGCAATGGCAACGCCAACAACATCCCCAACAATTGGATGAACGCATGTGTGTCGCTGACCAGTACCGTTGGGTACCACGTCGAAACTCTTACTCAGAATGCGCGCATCACGTGCAGGTACTACGACGACAGCAACGAGTGCAATGGCAACATCGAAGGGTCCACCACTACTTACGAGAAAGAGGAGAGCTTTACGATTCCACCCGATGCTGGAAACCGGATCAAGTATGTCATGTGCAAGATTGGTCAGTGGCGCAGGGACGTTGGTGGGATTGAAGCTCGAGAGGTCGATGTTCCTTCCTCATCGGAGATCTTTGTCGCTCCGGAAATTGTAGTCGCTCCAGACACCGATATCTCGCCAAGCACCGATGTCTTACCGGCCTGGGCCTGCATGAACCCGTCCCCAGATAACCAATACTTGGTTGTCTGCAGCCATGGCGTAGGCCAACTCATGACCAATAAGCTCCTGGGTAACTGTCTGAAGCTAAACAGCGATATCGCGTATAATGTCGATTCTTTCATTCAAGATTCAGGTCTGAGGTGTAGGTTCTACAACGACCGCCACTCAGACTGCAAAGGCGAACCCATTTACACCGCTCAAACTCTGGATAAGCAACACCTCTTCAAGATCGATGCGAAGTACGGGACTAGTTTCAAGTATGTTTGGTGTTACAAGGGCGACCACCGGTTGAGCGATGTTCCTGCGCTCGAAGCTCGAGTAGCGGATACGTCTCTTGAGGCGCCATCTTTCGCGGTCGAGGAACCGTCCGGGCTCATCGCGCGACTCATCAGCGATACCGGCTACGCCTTTGAGTATCAAGAGAACTTCGCTGGGCTCTGCATCAAACTCCCGGATACGGTATCTCGTCATTTGACGCACGCAGCCTTGGTCGATCATACCCTCTGCAGGTTCTACGAGAGCGGCTGCTTTACTGTCATTAAGCCTCTCTTCACTGCAAAGAGCGAGGCCCCCTATACCAAAGTTCCTGTGCCATCGGATGTCGGCAAGAAAATCACTCACGCTGTCTGTGGGCCTTCGACTGCTCCCCATAATGAGATCGATGTGCGAGCGGATGCTATATCTCTTGAAGCTAGCCCGGCGGCCGCTTCCGAAACAACGGCATCTTGGGAGTACATAGCGAGGATCTTCAGCCCCACAAGCGACTTTGCTATCATGAGCGACCGCGACAGGTCCTGCCTTATGTTCGAAGGCCCTTTCTCTTATAATGTTACCAAGGTGAACATTGGAGCTCATACTCTCTGCGTGTTCTACGACAACGACTGCAGTCTAGCTAAGTACCCCGTCTTCACCGTTTCAAGCACCACGGAGCAGTTTGTCAGTCGCGACGTGCCAGCGGATATCTCTAGGAACATTACCCACGTTATTTGCGGAATAAAAGACCATGATGCGATCGAGACACGAGCAGATGCTACGACGTTTTCCCTAACCCTTGCGCAAATCTCCAGCAGCACAAGCAAAATGTCTGTCACTAGCGAAAACGGCCGAGCCTGCGTTATCTTGAAAGATCGTATTTCCCGCGATGTTGCCAGTGTAACTGTTGGAGCTCACACTCTCTGCGTATTCTACGACAACGATTGCACCCTAGCTAAATACCCCGTCTTCACCGTTTCGACTGACAAGGCGCAGTTCACCGCTCGAGACGTGCCAGCGGATGTTGGCAAGAAGATCACCCACGTCATGTGCGGGAAGAAAGACGGTTATGCCAGCATCAATGCACGAGCGGACGATTCATCTCTCCAGACCACAGCCCAGAAGACGAAGATGGCCCGCGTCCTCAGCGATACAGCCGACTTGTACATCTACGACGACAACGATGCGGATTGCGTTGCGCTCAGCAAGCATGTGGCTAATGACGTGGTCGGAGTACAGTTAGAAGCCAACATTCTCTGCGTGTTTTACACCAATGCCTGCAATATCGCCAAGTTCCCGATTTTCCGCGCTTCGAATCCTTGGAGCAATGTCGTGAGTGTGGATATCCCGGGGTATACTGGCCGCGACATCACACACGTCGCTTGCGGGAAGAAGCATACCCTTGATGCTGAAATCGATGCGTGGGCGGCTACTGCACCGTTTGTCGATGCCCGAGCGGAAACTACACCCACTGTCGATGCGCAGGCGGTTACTACACCCATTGTCGACAGCACGGTACTGACGACTTTACACTTGGACGGCCCGGAAATTGCCAGGGTATTCAGCAAGACTGCCATGTTTGGTGTTAAAGATGAAGACGCCAATACCTGCATCCCACTTGGCGACTCCATTGCGAATGATCTTTTCGCCGTGGCCGTACACGAAAACGTCCTCTGCAGGTTCTGGGAGAACAGCTGCGACGTAGCCAAGGGTCCTCTGTACCAGCTCCACTCGAACAAGGGGGATGTTGCCTCTAAAGTACCTTCCGACATTGGCAAGCAGCTTACTCATTTCATGTGCATGCGTACTGAGCCTCAAGCTGCAATCATTACGCGAGAAGCACTAGACACATCGATGGCCGACCCTGGAGCCATGGCCTTCCTATTCGGCAGCACTTCCCAGCTTGGTATCTACGATGAAGACACCAAGAAGTGTATCCAGCTTGGCGACTCTATTGCGCATGATCTCATCGCTGTGGCTGTACCCCGAAACGTTTCCTGCTCGTTCTACAAGGACGGCTGCGATGTATCCAAGGGTCCTGTTTTCCTTGTTGCGTCGGGCCAGGGGCGTGGGGATGTTCATTACGTGCCCGCGGAGATTGGCGAGAGGCTTACTCATGTCATTTGTGTGCGTACTCAGCCTCACGCTGAGATCGTTGCGCGAGAGGAAGGTTCTCGGTCCAATGTAGCTCTCATCACTTCCGCGGCCTCTGCAGCCAACACACCGGATCCAGCTACCGACTTAACCAATACCCAGATCCAATACCCCAGGGACGGATACAGCCCCGTAGACCTCCCAGTCGGCGATCTATTCACCTGCTCTTATGAGCAAACCGATAGCTGCTGGATCATGGATGCACTCAACGATTGCTTGGAATTCCCTACGAACACCGCCCACAACGTCATGATCCTCGAGCAGGCTAAGGGGACGTATTGTTGGTACTACAACAAGCCTGGGTGCAAGGATAGTGATGAGGTTTTCCATCACACATCGGCGCCAGGAAATCCGACTGCATTTATCGGGACCTTCTTCAAGGATCTCGCGAGTGTGGTGTGCGGAGGTCCCGGTGTGACATCTGAGCTGGAAGTCATTCCCCACGACCATGCTATCGAAAAGGTCACCGCCGTGGACAGGCCCATCTACGCCGACGATATCACCAAGCGCGATTCTCTCCCCACGGACTCGGCACCTTCATGGACACTTCCTAGAATCATCCGAGTGGGCGAAGTATTCGCCTGCTCCGAAGACTTTGCCTCCGGCTGCTGGTACATCAACGCCCAAAATAAATGCACGGATTTTCCGGCCCAGGTCGCCCACAAGTCCCAATTCATCATGCAGGCCAAGGGTACATGGTGCAAGTATTACCTCGAAGCCGGCTGCTCGCACGAAGCGTGGCAGTACGTATCTTCTCCCACGGATCACACTACGTTTGGGGTCAAGACCAACCTGGTCGCGAGCGTGGAGTGTCAAGCTTCTAAGGCGACTGCGAACGAGGTCACCAAGCGCGACTGGCCCCCAGGCTCAACAACAGTCTGTCACCAAGCGCACTACCAGTTCTGCACCGACAACGCCATCAATGCCATCCAGCAATGCGCCAACTTTGCTCCTGCGGATCAGGGCCCGGTCTCGATCATCCAGTATGGTGGCGCATACTGCAAGTGGTACCGCGACTTTGGCTGTGGAGGTGGAGAGGACAAGTCGCCTATGAGCATTGATTCTAGGGGTGGAGAGCAGTGGGTCGATGATTTGAGCGTGGAGAACAGGTTCAAGAGCGTCAAGTGTGAGGCGTATCAGTGGTAGGCTTCTGGCTGGCTGCTAGTCTTCTTGAAGGTGTTGCGGAAGCGAAAGTAGCTTCTTTGGATACCATGTAGTTGGATAGATCGAGGAATGAAATGTCGTTCCCTCCATCTTGTCACTGTATGAGATAGGTCCGAAGCTTACATCGACGTTAGGCCACCTACTTTGCATGTTTTCATTATTGATGTAGGCTGCAAATCCATTCAGCTTTTCCCCTACGTTGACGTGACTTGTAGGATTCTGGCCCGGTAAGCGTGTCAGTAAGGCGTACTTGACATGTGCGCTTTCCCTTCTCGGGTTAGCACGAACATGATCTAGCGCGTCCCAGGGAACCAACCCTCCTACCCCGCAAACTCTCTCTCTCCATGTTTCGCGACGTTTGAGTAACTATCGCCATGGATAGTCCAGCTGATCTCGATGCCTTCTTCGCCTTTCAGAACAGTCAATTCGCCACAGACCACGCCTTAGACGATGGCAGCTTCGCCGGCCTGTCCGAAGCACTGGCGGTCTCGAACGCGGCACAGAATCAGTACAATGAGAGCTGGATGAGGGATCCGTCGTTATTAGACCTTTCGAACAATTCGACCGCCTCTTCGTCGCCCTTCACGCCAAGCGCATCGATATCTCGGCCTAAACTTGGCAGTCGCTTCTCGAGAGAAGTCATCCGTACACTCAAAGACTGGCTTACTGTTCATCAAAAGCATCCTTATCCTAGTGAGGGTGAGATGATGGCTCTCCAAGATCGTACGGGATTGAACAAAGCGCAGCTCACGAATTGGTTCGCGAATGCACGTCGACGCGGCAAAGTGCAAAGTGTCCGTCCTACTTCGCCGCAAGTAAAGAACGCGCCCACTTCTCCGGTTGATATCATTCCAAGACCTGGCACGCCTGCGGTGAGGATTTCGTCGAACTACAAAGATCCTATGCAGCGTTGGGTGGAATCGCCGCCGGAGCATGAACCTGCTGCTGTTGGCGATATTGCGCGTGCGATGGCTTCTACTTCACGTGAGTCATCCAATCATATCATGCACTGATAGCACTTTACTGACTGTGTCCAGATGAAGATGCTGGAGACTTCGCGTATCATCAACCATGGGAATCGCCTTACGCCATGTCCTCGGCAAGCAGTGCGAGAACCTCTCAATCGAGTGAATTCTCGGGTCATTGCTCATCAGGGTCGCAAACATCTCTCAAAGTACGTCGCGCACCGCGGAAGAAGCGAGCCACTCGACGTCGGCGTCTTGACACGGAGAGAACCGCACCCATCGGTATGCCGTATCAATGCACGTTCTGCACGGAAGTCTTCAAGACTAAGTACGACTGGCAGCGTCATGAGAAGTCACTTCATCTACCGCTGGAGAGATGGATTTGCGCACTCCAAGGCTCTCGCACCACCAAAGAGTCGACCGGAGAGCAATGCTGCGTCTTCTGCGGTGAGGTACAACCGGATGACAAGCATATTGAAGCGCACCACTACTCGGCATGCCAGGAGAGGAGCTTACAGGAGCGCACCTTCCACCGGAAAGATCATCTTGTTCAGCATCTGCGCTTGGTACACGGCGTCGAATTCTCCGAGTGGTCGATGGCGCGCTGGATGCTGCCGATACCCGATGTCAGGTCAAGATGCGGGTTTTGCGGTACGACCATGAGTACGTGGCTGGAAAGGACCGATCATCTTGCCGACCACTTCAAGTCTGGTGTTACGATGGCCAGTTGGCAAGGCGATTGGGGGTTTGATGCGTCCGTTATACCGTTGGTCGAGACTGCTATCCCCCCTGGTATGATAACCATGATGTTCTCATTGAAGGATTTTGCATACTAACATCTGCCAGACCTCATCGATTGGGAAAGAGGCACTCTCATCCCCATGAAAGGTAGCGACCCATCCTGGGGTACTCCACCAAACGCATACGAACTGCTCAAAGTCGAAATTGAGTTTTTCATCCAGCGGTATTTCGACAAGCACGGGTACTTGCCGGATAACGACGCGATGCAACTAGAAGCATGTCGTATCATTTTCGCAGCTGAGACCACTTCCGTCATGCACGGACCAGACACCAACCATCTCCACGAAGTCTCATGGCTACGAGACCTAATGATGTCATCACATGAGCTAACTGAACACGCAAGATTTCAGCCCGTTCGATCTTCCCGCGAGAGCAGACATTTCCCGTTGCGCATCAATGCCAAGGATCATCTCTTCGAACAATGCCCGCTAGAAGCGCAGCTTCGCGCTTTCGTGATTCAGCGCGTGGGGACGGGTGAGACACTGGACGATGTGCAACTGCATCATGAAGCATGTCAGATTGTTCGGCGCATGGAGCAAGAGTCCAGTACGCCATCTGACGTCTTCGCTAATTGGATAGTCAAAGGAATCTACTCGGGCACGAATTGGATATCGCTCTTCAAGCAACGCGCAGGTATCTCCGACGTTGTATCTACCAACATCCCGGCAGATCATGGCTTGGGCGAGCTACTAGACCTATCCTGGCCAGCCTCGCCTCCCAAAGAAGCATCCACGTCCGCTCTCGGGACCGCAAGTCCATCCAAGCAAACCCACGACTACTTCACTACACTTCCCACCTTCTCCGAAGAGCCCATAATCTCGCCTGAATCTACCGCGCAGACGGACATGTACGGTCGGTTGCGATCGCTGCTACCGGACGACACAAACTTCTACCGGATCTTTGACAGCGACATGAGGAGATGGGCGGCATCGACGCTTTCACCGAAGAACCCAAACTGCCACGTCCCTTCCGACGAAGAGATCCAGCATCAGGCGCGATGGATCATGTATGATGGTGACGACCCATGGAACCAGACGCCTGCGGATTTCCCGAACTGGTTGTCACGGTTCAAGAGGGAGGTTGGGATTGTGGCGAATGACGAGGGAGTGAATCCTGTTGATCTGGTGATGTGACTGCCGTGAACTGACGATAACATCGATCAGGTGCTGCCGCCTAGAAGTACGCCGACCTTTCCAGAGCTCGTGCGCAAAGAAGAAGGCTTGGGTGCTTGCTACGGAGGACTCCAGAGATTCATAATCCCTTGCACTCACCAAGACAAAGCATATTCTCTCTCAACCCTCCGCATCACCGTGTGGCAATCATGAGCTCTCTATTACTGCGTGCATTTCGGCCCTTGCTGACCTCATTGTTTGAGTATGCCGGCTATCCTTTCGTCACGAGCTCTCCAAACCGACATACGCCCTTCCAGTCGAACATTGCAGTGTCATCAGCAACCCAGGCAGAAACTACGTCATCAGGCCAACCTAAAAACTCCCCCGATGAGTCGCCAGGCCCGTTCAGGCTATTTGCACTGCCAGGGGAGCTCCGCAACATCGTCTATGCCCACGTTCTCGAAACGAACGAGGCCATCCTCATGGCACCATACCTCAAGAACGGAGTTCTACACCAGCGTCTAATCCTCGACGATCCGACCCGAAACCTACGAATGAACCTAAACCAAATGAAATTCGTCTGCAAACAACTCTACGAAGAAACATCAGCACTACCACCAACCCGCTGTCCAGAACTAATCTTCCCTCTCCGCAAAGACACCCCCGAGTCCGCTTCTAGCATATGCGCAAGCTACATCGCCAGCGCCAAACCCGAGCAGCTCATCGGCATCTGCCGCATCCACGTCCACGAGCGCATCGCATACAGGCAGTGTCCTTTCTCGCCGCACCTCTTCGACCCTTGCTTGAGCCAGCTCGTAACGTTCGCCACCCACCACCCTTCCACCTCACTCCAGACATTCCTCCATGCCGTAGACCCAAAGGTCTCCAACGAAACTTCCAAATTCCCCATCGCGGGTTTCTCCTACGAGATAGCTCGCAAACGGGTAGACTCCACCTCCGGATACTACAGCGCTTGGTACAATATCGATAGGGCTCTCGATGAGATGGCGGAGACGTGGTCGGATCATGCGTTTGAGCCGCAGCCGTTTCCACAGAATTTCGTGTTTAGGTTGGGGTGCGGGGTGAGGTGGTCGAATTGGCAGCAGTGGGTTGGGTTGGAGTTTCCAAGGCCTTTGCTTACGAGGACGGGGGCTAATTATACGGGGAGGTATGATATTTGGTTTTTGGGGCGGACGTGAGGCGGACGATGGAGGTGGTAGGGTGGAGTTTGGGGGAGGAGGGTGGTTAGAAGGATGGTAGCTTTCGTGGTGGAAGCCATCGGACTGAGATTATTGATGTAAATGAGACGTTACCCACCATACAAGCATCACATGTGCCTGGAGAGAACAATGATTGCTACCCGAAAATCTCTACATTCATACTAACTACGTAGCAGAACAACTATCTGCACTAAAGCTTCCGCTTCCTCCATCTAACCCTTCCCAACCCCTATCAGTTCTCCTGTCCCGGTGGCTGACCAAAGCCGCCTTTGGGAAGCGTGCCGTTAATAAACGGCTGGAATGGGGAAGGCTGACCTCCCGTCGGAGTGCGACCGTTCCCAAAGCCCGAGGGGGCCATCTGTTGTCCAATACCAGGTGCTGATTGCAGCGACCCGGTCGCTTGGCTGGATAGCAAGTCATTGCTCTGATAATTAGCGCTCTGATCAGGTAAGGGCTGCTGGGCGTTAGATCTAAGCGGCTCAGCCGGCGTCGCGATGTGAGCACGTGGTGCTAGGGCGGATAATGCAACGGCAGCCTTGTGCGTCACCTCATACACCTGCTGTATCAGGGCGAGATGTGCTGTCTTCAGCTGTTCATACCTCGTGTTTGCAGCAGTCGCCTCTTGCTGCAGTGTTGCAATAGCGGTGGTAGCAGCTTGAAGACGCTGCTCTTGGAACCTGCGTTCCAGATCCGGCTGTACCTGGCTCTGAGCATCTTGTGCTTGTGTAGGCGATCGAGCCACTCGAGCAGATGCGAAACCCGACTCTGCCTTGCGCTGTGCGAGCATCTTGGCCATGCGCTCGGTGGCCGATTCTGAGCTCGGTGGCTCACGAGTAGAACGGACGGTCGAAGGCGCTCGATCACGATAGCTGCCGTGGATTGGG